CATCCAAACAATCCCTGTGGGAAATCCATGCTAGCGATATTACAGGAGGGAAATGTTGCAAAACTGATTCATAAACCCAAACAAATTGGCTTAAGTGTAACGACGAAGCAATCAGGATTTTTGCACCTGGTGGTCTTGAATGTCTCGATATCTAGCTGCACAGACTTTCCGGATTTTTAAAAATTTCGCAATTCTCAAATCAAGATGATTCTTCAAAAATAAGGTTACTGGGTCAGGAGAATTATGGTTTCAAACAGCACTTACCTCCATAAAATTCCAACAGCACGCCCTTTGACAATGCCAGACAAATGGAGTTGTAGCAAAAGAGAACAGACTGTCGTACCGCAAAATTAGCATGATGTCGTAGTGGAGTGAGATAGTGAAGCAGCGTACTGAAAGCAAATCATAGTGATAAAAAGGAACAATACATAATTGCTTTGCAGTTGCTGTCCTCAGAATGTTTCCGGTCGCCTAGACCTCTTATAAAGAGTGAATACGGGACAGACAGTTACAATAGCTATCGGATGGTCTTTGGAAGATCATACACTGACAGCAGAAAGTTGCTTCTAGTAATGTGTTACAAAAGGAAGATGTTAACAGCAAGGAAACGAAGCTGTCGATTAAGCTCCTTCGTCTTGCCCAGTTGCCCTTTGATTACACGTGATATGCAAATGGTTCCGTCTCCGGACTCGAGTTCCCTTCTCTGTGATTAGAAATGAAATGGTTTAAGTAACTATGCGACGGCGGCTGAGAGCTGCTGCCGCTCATGCCCAATGCGTACTGGTACAGTGACCGCTTGGAGCTGTTACCGGATCCTACACTTATCGTCTGTTTTGTTTTGTGCTTTTTTTTGCTTTTTTAAAGTTTTATTTGGGCGAGTGCCCCTCCTCCCTTCGTCCCCCTGCAGCCCCACAGGAGCACCTCCTACAGTCGCGCAGGCCCTCCGACTCTCCTCCGTGCGTTTTGTGGGGGTTAAGCCGCAGAGAAACCGGGAATGTGCTATTACTTGGACTGCCTGCAATTCCATCCACTTCACTTGAATAGTAAAATATATAGGGCACTTTGATTTCTATAACGAATAATAAAGAAATTAGGCGCGAAATATGCTATCCGATTAATACTGGCCTGAATAGCCGCTAGAGGGGACCTGTGCATCTGAAATTTCAACTTCGGAAGAAAAAACGCAGAGAAACTGACAAGCGGGACAAAGAATCTCTGTCAGAGTTTACCAGCTGCACGGATGGTACGAAACAAGAGATTCTGCCTTTCGAAAACGCCAAGCACAAACTGCCAAATTCAAAAAGACGTCCTTTCTATTAAAAACTTTAAAAAAATCAAACTTTTCAAATAAATTTTTAAATTTTACAGATATTATAAAGTACATGAAAAAATACACAACTTTTGACAAAAAAATCATACCTGGTCATTTTAACAGTGCACGGAGAGGCGCCAGCACATGTAATCAAGTGACCCATACAAAAAAGAATTCTGCTCAGTAGTTCTGAATCTTTGCCCTTAAATATGAACAAGTCAATTAAATTTGAAAAATTACCTTCTGTAGTTCGTATTTTGAATAAGCCCCGTGTTGAATTTTGATGATACGAGATCTAGCTAACAGCAATTACTTGCTGGCGAAGCTGTTAGTGATTTCCGGGATTGCTTGAAAGCAAAATGAAAGCGGAAGTTAAAATAAGTCAAATAAAGATGTTAACAATGACATATATATATATATGTATATATACATATATATGTATATATGTACATCATGTACATATATGTATATATATGTATATATATGTACATATATATACGTACGTATATATATATATATAATGTAGAATTACATTGAAAAAAAAATTCAAATAAATAGAAGTGTTTCGGTCCATTAAGCCGTATACATTCCTATTCAGCACCATAACTGGACCTTGCCAGTATGACGGTTG